TAGCTTTCAAATTAAGTCAATGTGTGAGTACCCTAAAGTCAACTGTTGATCCTTGTCCTTTCTATTGCAGTGGTCAACAGCACATTAACATTTAAAAAACACGGTGATTCTGCCTATACAAAAGCGATCGTCAGCTGAAATATATATCTGGACTGACGCTTCGGAAACTCTCCCGTTTCCCCCATCAGAATGGTGCGTTGGTTCTTCCCGCTGACATAAACACTTCGAAATGTTTCTCTTACTACTACTGACACTTTCTTATGACGTCTTTGGAGAAGATGACGTTTTTTAATGCCTTCTTCATCGCAATCTGGAACATTCCAACTTATTTTAAAATGTATTATAAGTGAAGATTCGAAATCCATATTTCTTATCGTGTCCTTAATTCCCTGAAGAGTACGAAGAAACCGAGACGAGTTCATTAATGCAAATATATAAATTTGGACTGACACTTCGGAAACTCTCCCGTTTCCATCATCAGAATGATGCGTTGGTTCTTCCTGCTGGCCTTCACTTCTTCAGCCTTGCTCTCTACCTCGTATAGTATCCGTGGTCTACGCACGAATTTTGACCTGTCCATTCGCTGCTGATTAACGTCGACCAATCCAGCCGATGGTAGGGTCAACGTTCGTGGGTCGAGCACGGATATAATAGCAGACAGACATCAGAGCTGAGGCGTTCAAGGCCGACTGGAAGGACCAATTCACTACCCTGATAATGGAAACAAGAGAGTTTGCGGAACCTTAGTCTAAATACATATTTAGATAAATGAAATCCTCCCTATTCCCTCAGGGAGTAGTGAACTTCTCAGCTTAGTAAATTATGTATTGCTGAATGATATGAATAGCTTTCAAATTAAGCCCATGTGTGAGTACCCTAGAGTCAACTGCTGATTCTTGTTCTTTTTATTGCAGTGGTCAACAGCACATTGGAATTCAAAGAGCACAATGATTATGTTTATACGAAGACGATCTTCGGCAATGTTACGGTACTGATTGTCTAGCGCAATGATTGGCTTTTATACTTGAATTAATATTGACCATTTGATTGCAGTATTTGTCCGTCGACGGTGTAAACGTTTCCAGGCCTGCCCAGGGTTCACACTGTGTTCGGCCGAACGACTGCTGGGAAGTCATTAGTCGTAAGATATGCATTAGGTTTTTATCTCCGAGACAAAATATAATATTCAAAGAAGTATTTTGTACAAATTTCATGAGAACCGATTTGTCGAAGATGTAAAGATGTGGAGATTTCTAAACAGCCACTTCACAGTCTTAAATATCACATCATTATAATTTTTTAAAGCTGAACTACATTTCAGCGGGTATGAAATTCAAGTAGGCGTTATTTACTGTCAAATGCGTAATTATGGAACATTCTTGCGCCCGTTTTCTTTAAGGCATATTTAAAATTTTAGGGGCATGGAATGTCAATGATTAAATTTTATACCAGATGAACAGTCTTTTTTCCCAAAGGGTAATGTTATTGGACGACCGAAAGGCAGTTTGTTCGAAAACTGGTAGTCTAATGTAATTGAAACGTGTTTCTGATTCCAGCTGCTGGTCAGGATTATGTTTGTCAAAATAAAGGTAAAATAAGCCTGAAACAATACTGTATTAATTTACCCGCATTCCTGTCGTGCCTCCCTGCTGACAAATATATATGTATATATTTCCATAAATGCAAGGCATTTATCTCCTTCTACCGTTAATGAATGCCGAGGCACGTAAGCACACTGCTCGCGAAGCGGGTTCAAATCCTACTAAATTCTGCCATATTATTCCAAGCGAGAAATGCACAATTGCTAGACAACAGGGTGCAATTGTATCCGTATTTAATTCGTGTCCAAACACTTCCTTTTTTAGAAACTGGCACATATTTCATGGATATCGGTAAACTACGAAGAACACTCTGTTCCCCCGAATAACTGTCGGGAAGTCATTAGTCGTAAGATGCGCATTAGATGTATTTTCCGTGACCAAATATCATAGTCAACAAAGTGTTTTGTACGAATGTAATGAGAAATGATTTGTCTACTATAAATGCAGCGCTATTGCAGAGAAGAACTCAGTTGACAGTTTTGTCTTATTTATAATTTATACTTTGAACAGGTGTGTAATCGGTTTCTGAAAGACACTTATGATTCTCCGATAACTTTGAACCCGACCTGTCGTTACACTTAACTTCAGAGTTTCGAAAATACATACGGCATTTTTTCCTTGTAAGGAAAATCAGGTATTTCCTACATGCTAGTGAGAGGAAACTTTATGGGGTTCATTAAAATTTGCAGTGCACTTAAACCTTGTTTAATAATTTACAGGCAGCATTATTAGATGTAGAGTTATGGTGATATATGATAAGACATTTTGCAGTCTAAACTACCATATAACTAGGGGTTGTTTTAAACTTAGCTACATTTTGTCATGTGTGAGATTTTAGGCCGTTATTTTCTATCTAATGCGCACATTGTGGAGAATTCTTGTGCATGTTTTCCATAATATATATTTTAATTTGTTGGGCCATACATCGCCAAAGATTAAAATTTATACGAAGTTAGCAGTCACTTTTCACATAGGGTACTTTTTGGGCGGCCAAACTGCAGTTTCTTCGAAAACTGATATCCTAGTGTAATTGATATATCATGGAATTGTGTTTTACGGTAATTAATGCAACAGTTAAACTTAAATTATATCTTTGAATCAAGATCATATTTCAAAATCTTAGTTAAAATTTTATGAGATGACATTCCATTACAGATATATTTGAAAAAAGGAAGAGTTTTCTCGGAAAAATCAATAAACATCGTGTTTCTCGTTGCAGCTGCTGGTCAGGGTTATGATTGGCTGAATGAAGGCAAAATAAGCCCGAAACAGTACTGCATCAATCTACCCGCATTCTCTATCGTCCCCCCTCGCTTCCAATATGACTTGGCCAACGTCGGCCCGTTAGTTGGTTGCTTGTTCGTGAACTTGTTTGCTTCGTGAAGCCAGTGGGTCGGTTTCACCCATTCCTGATTGAATAAATTCCCTATATACAGCAACAGAGAATGACAGGTGGTAAGGCACTAATACAAGTCGTTTCTAGGAATTGCTTATGACACATCTGGCAGACCCCAGTGATGAAACAACTGCGTCTGGGGTGTCTGTGCGGCGCATGTTTGTGTTTCTGGTCCCAGTTAATGTATGGGGGGGGCAAAGGTCGCGAACGGGCAACTACCTACCAGGCCGAAGTCGACAAATGTGGAGCTACGACAGATAATGCGGGTAGATTGATACAGTACTTTTTCGAACTTATTTTACTTTCATTCAGACAGTCATAATCATGACCAGTTGTTGGGATCAGAAACACAAACATGTGCCGCAGAGACACCTGACGCAGTTGATGCACTACTTGGGTTTAATAGATTGGTCATAAGCACTTCATCGAACCGACGTTTATCAGTTCCTCACCACTTTTCATCCTCTGTTGCTGAAGACTGGGTATTTATTCAATCAGGAATGTGCGTACATTGATTCGTATAGTGTGTCTGCGCACATGCTTGCATTTTAGCTCCCAGCTGCTGGTCGGTATTGGGATTGGTTGAATGATGGAAATAGACGTCCCAAACAATACTGTTTAAATTTATCCGCATCGTCTGTCGTGCCCCCTTGCTCATACATATATATATATATATGAGAAGATAAGGCGATCGCAGGAACCATAGGTATATTTGCCTGACGTTTCGAAAGCAAACAAGCTTCCATCATCGGAGGTGGTTTGCGTACTGCACGTCACACACTATTTAGGGGTTTTCTTTCGTGCTGGCGTGTCACTGACTTCCAGCGCGCTGCATCACCAGGCCTGACGATTGTTGTCATGGCGGCATCGGTTTCTCCTCCTCCTTTGTCGGGTGTGGGGAGGGGGGTGGCGTCGGGGTGACCGCGGCCATTGCTCTTGTTTGCATTGTCCGTTGTCCGCCCTCCACGTATCTCGCCTTCCTACCCCGTTCGCGCCTGCCCGTAACCGCGTGGACGGTGGTTGTCATGCAAGTGTTGGCGTCGGGCTGGGGATTCCTGTCACTGTCGCGGGTTCTCGTCTCGCCGTCCCGTTCAAACCTGCCCGTAACTGTGTTGACGGTGGTTGTCATGCCAGTGTTGACGTCGGGCTGGGGGGGCCTGGCACTGTTGGGCGTTCTCACCGACTGCTCTCGTCTGCCCGCGTTCGCCGCCGGTTGTCCCCTGGTTTCGTTTGTTCCCGACGTCTGTCTATGTCCGTCCGTGTTCGCGCTTGGTCTGGGTTTGGTTACTGTCGTCTCCGGCCTGACGTCTCGTCGGTAGCCCTGCCTATTGAACTTCACCCGTAGGGCTTGGTAGGCAGCCGGTAAAGTTACGCAGCGGTTGATTGAGGTAGTTGTGGTGTGCCAGGCTTCGAGCGTCTCCCTGACCGTTTGATCGCTCCCTTGGCCCAAGACTTCGGCGTCTTGGAAGGCGAAGGCGTGGCCAAAAGCTGCACAATGTTCTGCCACCAACGAGAGCTGGTCCATCCTCCTTACCGCTCTTGCATGCTCTTCCATACGGGTCTGCAATCTCTTCCCCGTTTCTCCAACGTAGTTTGCCTCGCAGGAACTACACGGGATCCGATAGACGACGTTGGCAGATTCGCCTCGTGGCAGAGGCGTTTTTGGCCTCATGACCAGACGTCTTATTGTCGCCTCTGGTTTGTGGGCGATTCCGATACCCAATGGTTGCAAGATGCGAGCAACTGCCTCGGAAACGTTCGCAATATATGGCAGCGCTCGCCAGACTTTCGGCTGATTTGCCGTTGACTTTATTGTTGGCCTGGATAGTCTGCTGCGTTCTATATATATATGTATATATATAGAGAGAGAATGGCATTACCGACAAAGACAAGGGAGACTGGAATGGCCATTTCTGGCTTCTTAGCCGTCGTCAGCCAGCCATACCCAAGCCCGAAGTGTGGAACACCCAAGCCTCGAACACGCGACCTGTTGGTTTAGAAGTCCACGCCTCTACCCACCGGGCCACGAGCCCGTTGCCCTGTCGGTTTTCGATCGGGAATATACAATGGTAGGGGGCGCTCACCGATCGTTCATACGTAACTCACTCATTCCGTTGTGCCTTAAGGGCTCTCTCTCTCGAGCCCAACCAGCAGCCGCACTGCGGCGCATGATATAGAGGCAGAATGGTATTACCGACAAAGACAAAGATAAATATTCAAATATTCTTGAATGCAACACGAAAATTTTTTTAGCAAAATTATTGTTTTACGCGAATTGGAAAATTGGACCAGAATGTAGGAGGCTAATTATACGGACCCATAAGGTAGGTTAGTCGGCATTAACATCATTCGTCCCAAGGAATCTGTCTGGTAATAATAGGCGATTCAATGATGATATGTTCAGCGTAGCCTGAAGAAACTCGTCAGCGCGACGTAGTTAACTGCTGGTCTTAATCACTTTTTTGGGGATGAACACTGTTTTTATCAGTTATCAGCTTTGAATTTGGCATTGGATATCTACTGATGTGACATTTAGGGTAAATGCTGATATTTTGTTTAAGTCCAGTAGTTATTGGAAGTCGAGTTGTAAATTAGCCATTCATTCACTCCACTTATAATCCTTGTGCACCATACCCACAGACAAACCCTACTCAGGTATAGCAACGGTTCTGATACATTGTTGTGTTTTTGTGGTTTCAGGAAATAGGCATCGTCGGCAATATCACACAGTGCAATATTAACGACACTATGATCTCCCCTTGGCAAGACTGGTTAGTTAATACTTTCTTCTGGAAAGCAGCCATTTTAAACATTAGGACGCGCTGTTTATTTTAACAAAACTACTCGCTTAGCGTCTACTCCTGTACGAACGCTTACATGCATGCATCTGTGTTTTCGCAGGAGTGTCAAAATCGTCCGTCGTACTTTTTACGGGGCATGTGAGCACCAAGCCTCGGTTATTGGAAATAAACTTCTCGACCGGAAGAGTTGATCGTATTACGATAACTCCTTCCAATAAACCTAACGCGACAGTGCCAATTTTAACCTTCATCGACAATGCGAACGCCTTCAAAGTGAAGTAGATGTACGCGTGGGTGATGGGAATAATATTTGGAGTGGGTTGATTTCTGAAACTGGTTGACAATTCGAGGTTCTGGGGAGTGTGTCGTTTCAGCATCTTATTAAAAATATTTGTTCTGATGTTAATTTCTTCAGGAAAATACGCGGAAATTTGCGTTCTTGTTTATTTTGAGGTTGTTTATAATTATTTTGGTTCTTTGGTAGGTGCCTTTGAACTGATTTCGAGTGATTACTGACTTTTCGTCAATTAAGGCATATTTCATCAAGTAGGGATGCATCCGAATAGACGTGATTCGGAGTACAAATTGAAAGGGGGAGCAGATTGTTGGCGAAAGAAAGCGACATGAAAGGTCCTCCTTGATCGGGGCTGTACCCACACGAAGAGCCGGATGCTCCCGCATCACAGGCAGTGAACCTGCAAATGCTCATTATCCCAGAAGCTCGATTCAACTAAATCTTTCTACTGAGCATTAAAACGCAGACAGGTTTGGATAAATTGTTTTTCTCTGCGATGAGAGGGCACATAAGGACTACCGTCGTTTGTAAGCAAACACGCCTTCGCCGTCGGTATCGTTCTGAATAGATTGAAGATGGGCAAATTCAGTATGCTTATACCCCGTCACGCATTCCACCTGACTAGTGACTCAACCCAGGAATTTAAATGCTTAGGGTATTCAGTATGACATCTACACATTTGTAAAAGAGTAATTTGTTATCAAACTAAGCCGTTTAGTGCGAAAATTCAAAGAAGCCGAAATGGCAGTGAACCTCAAGCTAGGATATAATTAAACGCTCAACAAAGTGTGATAGGAGTTAGACCTGCGAGTTCTACCGATAGTTTTCGTGGGACATGCATACAACAGGTGGGCTAAATCACGAAATGTCAACCGAATTTCAGAAATGCGTTTCGTTTCAAAAAGATTAACAAAGTAGGGTTGAAAAACTAATCATCATGCAGCAAAAGTCCGCAATGGTCAGTTACTTTAGTATGCCGCTTTTCGAATTAGTTTTTTTTCCGGCCGCATCCAAAAACCATACTCTTTAATAAAAGACTACTTAAAAGCATGCATTTTTCTCATTTATTTTCGACGACCTTAAAAGTTCAAATATATTTCATGAAAAATATGCGCAATTTTTATTCTCTCGTCGACACGGTAGAAACTTGCATCGTCTTATCACTTTATGCTAGAAGGAATGGTATAATTCGGTTTTTAAAAACTCCTCCAACTCCCAAATAATTTTGAACCCGATCTGCAGTTACACTTGCATTTAGGGTTTTAAACTACAAACGGTAGAGTTCCCGCGTTCGGAAAACCATACATTTCTCTCCAGTATTAAGAGGAGACTATATGGGGTTCATAAAATTTTGCAGTGAATGTGAGCCATATTGCTAACTTGACAAGCCACATTAATAAATGCAGAGACATGAGGTTTAATAAGCGGCCATTTCATCGTGTTAAATAATCCCACAATCGGAAACTTCTTCAAAGCCGAATGGTTTCCTTCCTTCGAGTATAGAATTGGAAGATGTACTTTACTACTGAATAAGTAAAAGAAGGAATATTTTTATGCGTGGTTTCCATGAAAAATAATTGAATGTTTAAGGACATCGAAAGTCAATGGTGCAAATGCATGCTAATTACGTAGGCATTTTTTACAGAGGATGGTTTTTACATGCAGCCAGAAAAAGCTCATTCGAAATCCAACATCCTGGCATACTAGAATGCTTAGTACCAGCAATGCTCGGCTTTCATTATCTTCCTGCGACATCGCATATCTGTTTAGGTAGGATATCGGTGCCCAGAGTGAGCTGGTATTCACCCCCTTCTATCATATCGTTTCAGCCGTCGCACGTGTATAAATCCTAACATGAATATTTGGTTGTTTTAAGGATAAGACGCGGAAATAGCAGCCACTGTCCTCCCGTGTCCTAAACCCAGTCCCAACACTTATCCCAACCAAGACCCCAAACCTGTATATGCCCGGTTCTCAATGTATACGCAGGAACATTCGGCGCAAATTTTTGCTTTAGTCGCGATCCTGGGTAAAGGATGTAATTCGATAAAGTTTGACACGCAAGATTTGCCTTTCATACATCGCAACCAAAAAAGCAATTTTTTGCTGAAATCTCTGTGGCTGAAATCTGCATTAACGACCACCCAGGCAGTCTACTTGCTATCGGTCATGGTCGGTCGATTTTTAAAACGCTTATAACGGTTGCACATAACTGACTTCGTCAATCCATAGGAAATAACACACTTCTTTGAAGAAAGCGTAAAGTTTGATTTAAAGTTTTTTAAATTGTGAGTTGTTTTAAGGACATATGATGTCCGTTGCTCATTCATTTTCTGCTGGTAAACGCTAATATCGGGGTACATATTTGAACTTAACTCAGTATAACCTCACATCTGCTTTTAAAAGGCCTGAATGTTAACCGGCCATAGTGCCTATTCGTGATTAAATATCTTTAGCAATACCAGCATTTGAATGTTTTGTTCCATCCTGAGAAGTTTAAACGGTAGCTCTCACCATCACGTTTAGTTCCAAATTGTATATGTGGTGATTATATATCTGCTTCCACGTCTTGTATATAAGGATTTGCAAAACTGGATGTTAACCGAAGTTGTTGACTGGGCGCCGCCTAAATAATACTTTCTGTCTACTGTTTCCACTTGCGTTTTGGCAACTTAAATTTTCGCATTTCCCAGAGGATGAAATCAATTTCGAATCATTGACGTGTTTTGAAAATTTTAGGAGGCAGACCTTGTCGGAAGCATCAAGTACGATGTTAGCGAAAATAATATTGTGCATGTCCGTTGGAATTCCATTACATGATTACTTCCGCGTTGAGAGCAATTTGATCAAAGTCACGGTATTGATTAGTTTAATGAATATTATGTTAAACAACGGCTGTCAGTTTGTGTTGCTTTCAAACGTGCCAAAAAGTCTTGTGGTGCTTTTATGGTATACTTGGAGGCCAAATTACGGAGATAAAGTTTAAACCAATTGCTCTCGGCCGCGGACAATTCATTGTGAATGCCCTGTAGTGTTAGGTTGTTCAAAAACTGAAATTTTCGAAAAACCTAGTCAATGAATTGCGAAATATCGTACATGCCCCTTAAATCACATAAGTAATCTACTTAGTCTTATATTTGGACTGCGCCAGGTTAATGATAATTTGAATGGTTTGTGGCCAGGTGTGGGTAACAGCACGTTCTTAAAGATATCTTTCAATGAAATGAAAACACCTTATGCACTTAAGCAAGACAAAACCATCATAAGTTGCCCTACCGGCAAAGAAGATGCAATCACCTTTCCTTCCAAAAAGGACTACACAGAGAAAATAATGTCACTCTTAAAAGCTGATTCAACATACGAACCTCTAACTGCCGACCCCACTAATTCGCAGAACTTACGTAGTGAGAAAAACGCTGAAACTCCACA